GTTTACTCTCTGTAGCCCAAGAACTTGTAGTTAGATGGGAAGGAGTGTGCTGACACAGCAAAGTCTAAAACCATATAACAAAAATACTTAGAATTATAACAGAAATAAACACTTTGACAAATATTCCTGTATTGTTCAAAAGACATTGTTGAACATAAGTAGGAATCAGTTGATTAGCTGGATCATCAAACATTTTCCTGGAAAATATTTTGGGGTTTTTTTCTTAGAAATAAAGTTTGTCATTTTTTTTAACTGAAATATGGTGTTGAATTTATTATAACAGCTTTCCACTGTTATCAATCACTCAAAACACTTTACACAACATCACCCATTTGCACACACATTCATACACATACTAAGATTGAAAGCCAACTTAAGCGCCTTAAGTTGGAATTGAACCTGCAACCTTCAGATCATGAGAGGACTCCACCACCAAGCTACAGCCTACACAGCTGTAGTATAATATATAGCTGTAATATGATGCTACAAATATCCAAATTAACATATTTATCTTATATACAAGATTTTAAAAAGTATCGTTCTAGTGAATTTAAGGCAAATAAATATATGTATGTGTGTTTGTGTATATATGTATATAATTGAGAATAATATACTGTATTGAGGTTATCACAAATAGCATACTATGAGCCAAATGAAAGTGTAACTGTGTAGGATGATTTCTAAAAATATATATATAAAATGGGCATGTGTATTTGTGCATTAAAATTCAATAGACTGTTTACAATATGAAAATAAAAACTCTGCAAACAGTGATGTTATTTTAGCTAAAGTTCTTCTGCCTCCTGCCACTTACAGGCCCAATGTAAGTACAATAATAATACAAGATAATGATATTACAAATTTTTTTTATCTTCTTAAAACAATCATCTTAACTGCATCAGACAATTCCTTTTGGACGCATTGTGTAGCCAAGATATATGGCAAAAATATGGAACACTGTTTTCAGAAATATATCAAAATTTTAAGGATGTGAGAAATAAACTGCATCCTTTAGCATTCACTGTTTCAGTGGATTGTTGTCTTTTGCCCCACCAACTGTTTTTATCATAACCTATTTGAGATAAATGGAATAGTTACTTTTAATAAATGGAATTTCTTGATGTTCAGATTGTTCTTCCTTTACAAACCTTTTAATCTTACCTTGTTGTTTTCCAGACTTAGAAGCAGACGTCACCATTTTGCTGAAGAAGCTTAAAGGTAGTTTCTGTGTAACATCAAATAACGGCGTCTGTCGGTAGGTGCGGCGTGTACTCGTACACATTGGAGTGAAATCATTACCAATGTTCTAGAGTCATCACAATGAGGAGATGTTCCATTCCAAAGTCGTTGACATTTGAAAATGTACCAAAGTTGAAATTTCGCACTGTTCTGGATCATATTCCAACAATTTATAAAGTACAAGCATCTGTAATAAAATTTGAATCAGCGATCAGGCTGTATTGTTTTATATCTTTTTCTTTCATAATGTGCCTGGAGATTACAATTGTTGTGACTTGGTGCTATGTAAATAAACTGTATTAAACTGAATATTCTGAGGCTAGATACTAGCAAACATAATAAGCTAGTTCACATATTTGTGTAAGCTAGCTTACACAAAGTACTACTTCAAGTTATTTTCTCCTTCAAAGGCTTCTCTGCCGTAGAGAATTATTTAGTAGTGACTGTGTGAGTGATGTTACTGTAGCTAACATCACTCACAGCAGCAGATTCAGCAGTAACTGAATCTGCTACTGTTTCTTAAAAACTTTAGAACTTAATCTTCCAGCTATGATGAAACATACGGGCACAAACCGAATATTCACTAAGACCAAGACCTTTTAGGTTTATTTGGTCTGACCTATAGAAAAAGTTCAGTGGCTGGGTCCAGACCAACATCCTCTTTCACTTCCTATTTTTGGTTTCCAGGAACCCAAAGTTGTATGTCTTGACTACAGTGGTTTAAATTTTTAACAACAGATATGTTGGACTCTTGAAAAAGTATTCACATCTCTTAAATACAAAGACCTCAACAGGACCTGGAGAGATCCACCAACTCAGGTAGAATAATCTGAGGAGAGGAGATGCACTCCACAAATTTGGCCTACATGAAAGTGTAATAAGAACAAAGATAGAATTTCTTACGTAGGAATAAGAAATCCTACTTAAAGTTTCTTTCTGGTTACACTTAAACCAGAAGTTTACATACAGTGAAATAAAAGGCATGCACCTTTTTATCCCATCGTCTGAAGTTAAATCAGACGAAACGCCTCCTATTTAAGGTCAGTTAGAATTACCACAACGATTTCTTTTTTGCTAAATTCCACAGTAATGACAGAATATGTCAGATGTTTTTAAAATCAGACTTTTATATGCATTTGGTCAAGTATTTGGTAGTACTGCCTTTGTATGACTTGAGTCAAACATTTTAGGTTTTCTTCCACTAACTTCTTGCAATAATTTGCTGGAATTCTGACCCATTCCTTAAGGCAGAACCGGTATGACTGGGTCAGGTTTGTACGCACACACCTTTTAAGATCTACCAATAAATTCTCAGGGCTTTGTCTCATTTTGGCCTTCAGAACACCTACAATTTCTCTTTCTAAACTCTTAACATTTGTACTAATAGCAATCACTCCTTGGACATAATGACTAACCTACAAAGTGCCACTAGAACATGAATGTCCAACTTTCAGGCAAACCTCACAGCACAACAATCTGATCTGAAGCATCATCAGTGAAACAAAATGCAATCACACTAATAGTTTTAACACATGCGATCGGTTTCCTTCTGTGCTCTGACTCTCTGTGCTGCCTTTCTGAGGAGATGGAGACCATTAGCAGCAATCAATGAGACTGCTACTTAGTCAGCCTTTACAGAGAGAGAAAAGTGCAGTGAGCAGGCAGAATCGTAGTATTTTGTAAAAAAAAAAAAAAAAAAAAAAGGGAAAGAATGACAAACTGTGGTCATGTCAGGACTGCAGAGATGCAAGTGGCTGCTAAAATTATGATGGGAGTCATTCATGTGGAAATAATCTGTGAGGTGTGATGACAGCACAGAAGATTTAGCTCTGATGACTAAAACAACTATAGGCGCGGCAGGAGCTAGTGTTATTTCAACTTACTTATTGCAAATTACTTCAATGGTGACATATAATAAACACAAATGTTTAAATGTTTAAATTCATACACTCAGAAGAATTTGGTACTGCCACCTCTGGACAATGTCGGCATTGTTAATAATAATTAGTTTTCAGTCAACTAACCTGGCTAACTTCAGGTTAAAAAAATAAATGAATAATTATCAACATTGTTCTCACGATACAAGTGACAAAAGAAAAGGTAAATCACACAATGTGAATTTGGGAAATTAGATTTCTGCGCTAAAAGCAAAACTGTATGAAACAGTTGGTGAAGGCAAATCTTTTTCACAACAAAGTTATCTTCTGCCATAAAATAAATAAATGGAAATAATATTTGTCAATTTAGTTTGCTTTAATTTGAAATTTCACCTTGGGGCCCAACATGAAATTTTGGTTAGGGCCCCCAAAACACTTCGAACCGACTCTGTAACCTGTGTACAATGGCCATAAAAACATAATAGGTTTTATTTAATATAATTTTGCCTTGTCTAATCTCAAGAGAATTTTCGAAATGTATTTATTTGATGTGGTTTTGTCCATCTGAATTTGTTTCATGATAAAAAAAACAAAAACGTTTGAGCTGGAAAAGAAGTAGAAAGCTTTAGATTCCTGTCTCAAAACAAAACTGAGGCCTTGTTTTTGTTTGTTTAACTTTGCCCACCGGTTATGTTTTATTATTTTCAAAGACAAAGAATGTTAAATCTCATTTAAATGCCTGTTCATCCGTTTCAGCTACAAAAAGAAAAATGGTGTATAAAACTTAAAAAATAATTTCTGTTGTTTTCCATAATTTATTATGAAAACATTTAATCACCAAAACATATAACCCTCTCCATTATCTGCTAAACAGTTAAATTCTCACAAATGTTAGTATTCCACCACAGCATAGAATTTCAACATACCAGATAAAAACTGTATATATATTTTTATTTTTAGCATGTAATGTCCTTCGAAATCCATTTTTTGGGGTTGTCAAATATATTATTTGATCTTAAAATTATATTGATTCATAAAAAGAGTGCACTTTAAGCTTCCTGGTACTTTAGTGCATGTCTGTGTTATTATATCTGATTTAAACGCATCATTTCATATGAAATGGAGTCCATTTGTCAGGGCTTTATGTAATTGTTTTTATTGCGACACCCTGGGAGGTTGAACTCGTGGATGACGGATGAATTCCGATAATGAGCAAAATTAAACATAGAAACACGATTTTCACCCCCTTCTGAATGAACCCCGAACTACAGTCTTTCATTCATATAAATTCTAATCAACACCTAAAGATAATCCCCAGAATATCCAACGGAATCCGCAGCCATTGTGGAGGATAAAGCGTTTATAAACAGAGGCACATTGCATATCGTGAGCCAGCCCACTTCCAAGTAGTAGGGTATTCTCGTGGGTTGAACCAATTCACCTCGCGGAACGGGGGGGTACCGGATGAAGAAGCTGCTCGTTTTCTTAAAATTTAAAGAGGAAACTTGTGAAAATGGCGTGTGTTGTGAAATAAACCACGAACATATCGTAGATAAAAATAAAGGAATTAAGAATGGAGAGTGGGTTAGCTTCGTTGTTCGGGGGTAAAAGGGCGGAGATCCCCTCGACATGATGCCACCACTTGGGGCGGCGAGCTATAGAGAAATAGAGCGCTGAAGTCGGATGAACCCACATAAACCGGTCGGACCAAAGCGAGTGATGATGTCTTCCCCGTGCATGTCTTCTCACAACTTCATCCCTTGAAACGTATCCTGTCGGGAAAATTCTGCTGTTACGCTCAGGTGAGATGAGACGTCTCTAAATAGCTTCTCCAGCGTGTAGGAGGGAGGTTGTTGAGGACAAAGGCATCTGAGGATGAGGGTGTGTGTGTGTGTGTGTGCGTGTGAGGCTGAGAGGTGCCAAGTGCACCAGGATGGAGCTGAAGGCCGGGGAATGATGAAACATCTCACATGGATGTCAAGAAGCGCGCGCAGCTCTAATTTATGCCAATTCGGAACAAATTGTGCCGGAGTGGATAAAAAATACGGCATCACGATGTCTTATATTTATATTACTATTAATTTAAAAAAAAAACTGTCTTTTTCTGACCACATTTCTTTGCTGTTAGGTTAAAAATAAGGAAGAAATTGGGCGTTTTTATTAACATTTTTCTTCTTCGTGTGTTGAATTCTTACCTTAAACCCTATTTGTTTGCTTAGCTAGCGTTTTAACATCCTGGTTCTGTTATTTAATATATCTTCTCCGCTCCCATTTTTTGGCTGCTTTAGATCACCGGCTCCTTTTTGCTCCTCATTCAACAGCTAATCTGAAAGCGCTAATCTAATCAGCATTTAATCCTGCGGTAGGTAGGCGGGAAGCGTGCTCTCCTCAGGAGGACCCCCCATGACATTTTATTTAGAAGAAGCTTGAAACGGGTGGAAATAAACGGACGTGTATTAATGAGCAGAAGTGGCGGCATTTTCGCTAGCTGGACTGGAGCAGACAGGGAGGCTGCGCACCTTGCCCGCGCGTGGATGGCTGCCTGGACGGGGCTGTCCACACCCTGGAAGGCTCTCTTAGTCTGCAATGGTCGTAAATTACGGTCGTTCGGAGAAATGGGAAAAGTGGAGAGAAAAAATCGGAGAAGGGGTTTTCTTCATCAAATGTCTTAAAATAGTTTGGGGTTTGGATGCAGCTTCGCCTCCTCAAATATTCAGGAGGCTGAAAACGTGAGAACTCCACCTGTCCCAGTCCGATTCGCTTCCAGGCCTTGAGTTTCTCAGAACAGTGACGAAAAGAATAACATGATCCCCATTCATTGATGCCCATGCCAGCCATGTGATTCCCATGTGAGGGCATAAGGCTGCATCTTTTATATCTCACTCTTAGATTAATGCTTCAGTTATGATCATCTTCATTTAAAAAAATAGATTTTTGTAACACACAACATGACCTAATTTATTTTTATATGAACAGAAAAGCTACAATTATTTCTATTGCTGCTAAATTAATACTGTTTATTACACTTCAAGTAATGTTTTCTATTGCATTACGGTTTTGATACATAGGCTTGAGAATTATAAAATTAATTTAAGTTGTGCTTTCACATGCCTACAGGGCAATATCATATCTGTTAGCCATTTTGATTTCTATTGAGTAGCATAAGTATAACAAATTGCTATTTAGCTTAGTTATTAGTCAGGCTGTTTGCATATGTGCAGTCAGCTACTTTAACAGACCTACAGCATTAGCTTAATAAGAGAGATAGTTAGCACTCTTTTCCCTTAAGCACTTTGTCTTTAGTGATCTTATAATGAAATCTGAAATTGTTTGTTTTTTTCTAATGCACACTGGGTAAAAATTCTACATACATGATCAAAAATTCACATGGAATCAAATACTTATCTTGATGTCCCACAGCAAGTTGCAGCCACCGGCTACTACTTGGCTACTTTCTTGTAGCCACCAGCATGCTTCTGATATAATTTTAACTGGAAACTTTTACAAATTCTTCTCATCAGAAATAGTGGGCCTCAATTAAATTGGTTGCTTTTTTGACATTTATCTGGATTTTAAAACATAGACAAAATTTTCAATACAGTTAAGGTCAGAGCTCAGAGGTTATCCAGGTGCTTAATGTTAGCTTGCTTTATCCATTCTAAAAACAGTTTTATTTTTTAAACTCTCCAGATGTTAATTTGAACTAAGTTGAAGAACTTGAGGCCTCCTTCATTTTGTCATCCACTCTCGCTGCGCAGATAGTTTAGCGCTTCTAGGTTGAAAAGTTTCACCTTGACTCCTCCAAACATTCTTGTAATGTATGATTAGCCTGGCCATTGCCTTCAAACATAATTCCGCTTGATTCTCATCTCTCTTCAGTGTCCAGTCTGGGACTTCACCTATTTACCTCAATTTCTTTGGTAGAATTTCAACCGGGCCACTCAGTGAACAAAGATTTTCTTCACTTCTTCTAGGATGGTAGCTTGCCTATGGTTCTAGTTTGGCAATGGGAGCGGAGGAAGATGGATGCTGTACATCCATCCATCCATCCATCCATCCATCCATCCATTTTCTTTACACCCTTGTCCCTTAGCGGGGTCGGGAGGGGTGCTGGTGCCTATCTCCAGCTAACGTTCCAGGCGAGAGGCGGGGTACACCCTGGACAGGTCGCCAGTCTGTCGCAGGGCAACACAGAGACACACAGGACAAACAACCATGCACACACGCACTCACACCTAGAGACAATTTGGAGAGGCCAATTAATCTGACAGTCATGTTTTTGGACTGTGGGAGGAAACCGGAGTACCTGGAGAAAACCCATGCATGCATAGGGAGAACATGCAAACTCCATGCAGACTGGGGCCGGGAATCGAACCCAGAACCGTCTTGCTGCAAGGCAACGGCTCTACCAACGCATCCAAATGTTGAGTAATTAAAGGTCGAGCAAGAAGAATGTTTAAGACATTTTATTGATGGCGTTGATATTGAATGATTATTTACAGTGCACAAAACCTTTGGTAAACTTCATAGTGTGGCTTTCTTCACTGTCGAGCTGGAATGCTAAGTATGTCAAAGTCAAAGATTAGCAACCAATCGTTTGTCAGTACGTGACCTTCGTTATGCAATAAAGTGTAAAACAAGGGGCTGGTTTTTACCAGGCTTATGTATGATAGACTTGACTTGGTGGATCTTGCAATGTTCTTGAACAACCTGACCAAGAATTCCTTTAATTAGATATTACGATTTGAGTCTGACGAGGAATCCAAATCAGGCTTGGAGATTTGTGCTAGACAACCAACCAATGGTAGAAGTACAGACGTCAAAGGAATGAGTGCTGTATTTTCACTGTTATATATACTGTTCATACTGGGGGTTTTTTTCTGCTCCACAGACATTTGGTGATAATGAAGAAATAAAGCACTTACTAACCACTCAACCTTCACAGACTTTTTGAATCCCCCTGGGTCGTTGGACGCCCACCCTCCCCTTGAACTCAGAGTTCTTCACAAGGTGACTCTCACTGGCTGCAGGCACCGCCGTTAAAATCCACCCTCCAAGACTTTAAAAAAAGAAACAACAAAAAAGACGTTCCACCCTCCCTGCCCGTGTTTGCTTTATCAAATGCCCAAAAACAGCAAGGCCGTCAAGAGAGAGCTTGACGACGATGTCACGGAGTCTGTCAGGGACCTGCTTTCCAATGAGGACGCCTGCGATGATTCCTTCAAGAAGAGCTCGCTGATTGTCGACAGCCCCGAAGGCGAAGGCAAGGAGTGCGATGTGGAGGAAGGGGCCTCGGACAGCGAGGAGGAGGAGCGCCCGGCCTGGAACAGCAAGCTTCAGTACATCCTGGCCCAGGTTGGCTTCTCTGTAGGCCTGGGCAACGTGTGGCGGTTCCCCTACCTGTGCCAGAAGAACGGAGGCGGTGAGTTACTCTCAGCAGGCCTCGTTTACAGTTTTACTGTGGGCAGTTATAGCTTCCTCCCACTCAGACTGAACAGCAATAATAGAAACACATTATAAACTTAACAACTGAGAGGTAATATTTGTTCACAGCTGGAAAATATTTGAAAATAAGTTTATTATATGAAACATTGACTGTGTTATGGCCCCTGATTGTGCACCGTTCCTTCACACATTTATCTGTCCCTTAGCTATGCTTTAATGTTGACTCAGGCTCACTACCCACTTCTACACATGTAAACCTTGCATTAGATAACAGGGTGTCTGGCTGTGTATCCTTAAAAAGTCTTAAATTCATGTATCTAAAATTAAGGCCATAAAATGTCTTGATTTAAAAAAAAAAAGTAATTTGTCGTTAAAAATGTTGTTCACGGGTCTTGTTCACGGGCAAACTAGTTGCTAATATACCTTTGCTAGCAAGCCAGCAAGCGATTTGCACCTATAATGGGTAAGTGCAAATTAAAAATATATATACTTGGCATTATGTGGGATAAGGCTGTAGAGTGTGAAAAGCACAAATCTGTTGTCAAAAGCCACAAACAGACTCCAGAATGTCACAGTTTTGATGTGGTGGAGCTAAAGCTCTCAAGAAATGGTCACCACTGATATCACATTAGCACTAATCCAGCAGAGCAGCATTTGGTGGACATGAAGCTTAGTGGATTTTAGACACAGTCAAGCACTAGTCAGAATGGTCTGGAAAAAAGTCTTAAAAAGTCTTAAATTAGGTGAAACCTGCACAAACCCTAGATAAAATGTTCCTAATTCTTTGCATCTTCTCTATCGTCCTTGCATGCCTCCCTGTCTGAGATTTACCAAAGTAAAAGTATTGTTTTATTATTTTCATCAATCCTTTTGCTTATACAGGAAAATCTCTTGAGACTCATTGTCTCATTTACAAGAGACTTGTTACATACATCATCAGCAAATGTGTGTGACATGAAATGTTTGCGGTTGCTTTGAAAAGGCCGAAGTCCAACTTACATGTTACTTCAGCTGACTTCATGCACACATCAAGCATGTGTGGCTTTAGAAGTAGAAGGTTCTCAGTTGGAAAATCATCTTTGATTAGAAAATAATGGTGTTGAACTGAAGCCACATGTCTCCACCAAAATCCAGCTGGGAAATATAATGATGAGTAAGTATAATGTAAGTCAGACAACAGCTTAGCTAAATTAGACTCTTAAAGGTGTTATTTGGGACCAGTGGTAAGTCTGTGGTTATTGCCTGTTTACAGGATGGCTAATGCAAAAGGTTCAAACATGACACTGTCTTGTTGGTTTTCTAGCTTGTTGCTCGCAAATATGTTGATTTTTATGATCGGGCAGCGGTTTTGTAAAACAGCAGTAGTGAATGGAAGCAGCTGAAAGTATCAATTTTCATCAGATGATCAGTTTGTGTTTTTACTCAAACTCATTTAAAAGACAAAACCTGTTATTGTTAGGCCTGTCACAATTGCACATTTTGATGGACAATAAATTTTCCCAGACGTTATTGCAGTAAACAACAACATTGACTATTTTCAAGTAACAAAATGGTAATGGCACAATAATGCAAACTCTCAAAGATCAACAAAATTTAATTTGTAACAAACATTTAACACTGGAACTGGAAGACTTTTTAAATATCCAAAATAAATAAAACAGCAAATACTGAAGTCTCTGTAGACAATTTGCCCTTTGAAAAAGGGAATAGTGGAAACCAGTGCACCAGACTGAAGCTTTTTTGACATCTGGTCTTTGGTATAAAGACATAGAGACACAAGAAAAACAAACATGCAAATGGAAACGGTCGAGTTTGTTTTCATTTATGATGCAATTAATTGATTTATTACGTATTCCGACAGTCTTAGTTTGAACTCAGAACAGTATTATTGCTATCGAAACGTTAGTCTGATGACAATCTGTCATATCTTAAAACAACATGTTTGGCCCTAAATAGTCACTTGAAGCTAATCTGAAATATATCAATTGGCAACTTTATTTGTGGGGGGAAAAAACCCAATAAGGCAATAAGTTGCTTTATCTTAAAACTTTATTGTCGCCGCTGATCACTACATCAGTAGTTTCTGTGAGATCTGTCAACTCTGTTGAATAAACTGTTGTGTCCAAATTTTCTAAGGCATTTAAATAGGCGCAAGTCATCAACAGCCTTTTTTCAGTCTGGTTTTCACACCAGATGTACAAAATGTTCCCACAAACTACGAAGAGCGCAAGAGGCTGTCAGACTCTGCTGGAGCTTAAGAGAAATAAACCAAGAACAAACATGTTCACCTCATCGCAGCTTGTGTTTTTATTCCTGTGTGCTAGCCTTCTGTGAGAGGTACACTTTTGTTTTTTCTTTATTAAATGTATTCCAACTCCAAACCCATGAAAAGATCATGCATCTCTTTTGTAATAACACCATTCTTGCTCTGTGTTTACAATCAGTGCTGCACAATCTTGTTCGGTATTAAAATTAATCTCTGACTGAGGAAGTGTACTACAGCATATCTACTATATCTTTTCAAGATATATCAGCTAAGTCCATATTATTAACCACTACTCTGTCCTGACAAGACAGCCTGCTTACTTTTTGACTAATAAGTGTCACATGACCTCCTGAGAACCAACATGCCATAATAACCTCTCTGTGAACTCGTTTGGAAATCAGCCGTGTTTGTCTAACAGTAACCACACGGGAACACGGTGGTATCAGGAACACGTTAGGCGTTCTGAGGATGCTCTGGTGATAATACCCTACATGTATGTGTCCTAGAAAGGTGGGAACAAGCTGCAGGTGCTTCCCACCCGGAGATTATATAAAGCTGTCGCCTGCTTGATGAAAGCAGATTAAATGCAACTGAGATGGACGGGTTCGTCTGGGAGGAGACCGACTCTCAATCTGGGTGTGTTATTGTTGAGAAATGATGAGTTGTCGGTGAGCTTTCCACACCAAGAGAACAACAGTTACTAATATAGTCGAATAAGATTCCTGTTACACTCTATACATAGTCATATGAAAAAGGAAAACTTCTCACACATTTGAACATATAGAAATTTACTATTGGGTTTAACGATGCAGAAAATTTCAATATAAAAAAATAAGAACGGAATTTATTTATTTATTTTTTTAATAAAAAAAGGTATTTTATTCCTTTTAAAAATGGTGATTTGCGTCACTAACCTGAAAACTAGGGCTCCATTAAATCAAGTTTAATTTTATTGTTTGTAGGCAGCCTCATCACGTTTTTTCCCCATAATAGACCAAATTAGACTTATTCAGCTCCTCATGCTGATGAGGAGCTGAATATTTTGTTTGGTGATGTAATTTTTTCAGAACTATACACTGATGGAATGCAAAATCCAATAAGGTTTGTTTTGGTAACAAATGCACCAACAGCAAGACATCACTTTGATCAAATAGGACAGAGCATTAGTCTACTGAAAAGCTTAATATACCACTTATTCCATCTATAAAACCTCAATGTAATCAATAATAATTCTGGGACTTCCAGTGGTCATTGGGCCGGAGGCAGGGTACATCCTGGACAATTTGCCAAATGTTTTTAGTTCAGGTTCGGTGCATCTTTCTGCCTCTGCTTCTCTGTCATGTTTTCAGGCCTGCTTTAAACAACTCCTTGAACTTTGCTGTGTTCATCTATAATTTGATTAAAATGGCAGATCTGGGGCTTGGAGCAGGTCCCTGTGAGTGTCCTTCTACTCCTATTTCACTCAGGACCTTAGTGAGTTATTAACAATGTTTTAAGAGAGCTCCTTACCTCTGCCTCCCTCCCATTGCAGGGGAATTGGATGGTTAACACTTGGTTCAAAGGTTGAGGGTATACTGAGAAAAAAACTGCATGGTATTGCTTTCTATTTACAGTCTAACCATATCCAAGCTAGCTTGCTAAAAGCTAAGAAGGAGCAACAGTTGAAACTTTAAGAGTAGATATATATATTTTATTAGTTCTTTAATAAAGTTTAGCAAAGAAAATTGTTGGATGGATATGATTTATGAAGTATTTTTAATTTTTTTGTATCCATTTAATCATGTTCTTACATATTGTGCCTACGGCATGTATGGAAGCTAGCTTGCTAAAAGCTAAGATAGGAGAGACATTTGGAACTTTAAGAGTAGATACATGTTATATCTTTTCCTAGCTGTTTAATACTTTTTAGCCAAGAAAGTATTTAAATGTGAACAATAAACTAATTGTTCACATTTATTGTTTATTTACAACACATGATTCAATTTTAAAAGAGAACACATTAAAATTTTGCTTTGAGGCTCAAGAACTGTAAAATAATTCAAAAGGACTGGTGGTTTATTCCAGGAATGAAGTAGAAAATTACGATCAAAACAGAACACAGCCGTATAGACCGTTGACTTTGTTGGAAGCTGTTGAGTTTCTTTTACGAGAACAATAGAAACCAGACAGTTTC